TAATTTGATGCTGGGACTCGCATTAAATGGCCTAGGATCCGCGTACTCCCTCCCTCTTTGATAGCATCATATATTTCATTCGCTCATAAACATTTTTATAGACGGTAATTGTGGAGAGATGTAAAAGAGAACCAAAAGTCCTATTATCTTAAAAAAATATATATAATTGCTATTGATCAGAAACTTGATTTAGTTTAATAAAGAGAGTAAAATTTGTGACTTTACGGCTAACTTGAAGTGTTAAACCATTCTTGGGGAAGTTGGAGTTATGGAGAGTGCCTGGAGTTACCAACCGGCTTTTCCAAGAGGAGAAGGGTTGCACACACGAGGGCGTCACCAAATGGAAACGGGAGGTCGTGGGTGTTGTAAGCAACCAGTTCCATGCTCCCAAAGAAGAGGCGTTACCAATCAGCTTCACCAAGAGGAGAAGGGTTGCGCACACGAGGGCGTCACCAAATGGAAACGGGAGGTCGTGGGCGTTGTAACTAAAACCAGTTCCATGCTCCCCAAACAAATTCTAAAGAAAGTTATATGTTCGATCTCCTGTTTACCGTATTTACGAAAGATCAATCCATTTTGATTTTATCGGGTGGCGTAACCCAATCAGACACCAACTACCACAACCATGTGACAAATCATGTGTGACGAATAGGATTTTAAATAGGAACGCGTCTTACTGTAATACTGTAATTCATTATAAGTTTATAAGTTAGAAGTTAGAAAAGTTAGAACTAATCTTTATTATTTGTAGCGACAATCAATTACAATATTAAGAATAACATGGATCCAAAGACAGTAAGTAGGTACTACTGTTTAACTCTATTTGCTGGAGGTATTCAACTCTATATTTTCTACATTCTAGTTTACGCTTCCTAAATCTAAAGAGATGCACAAGTACTTTTCGTCAGTTCCATTTACAGCCTGTAAAATCATCGAATTTCTGCGCCAGCTCGATGTCGACCAAAAACTAAAGAGTTCCGAACAGAGATTGATCGAAAGAAGTTATGTGAAACACTTCGAATCATTAAACAAGGACAAAACTCTCCCGCAATTCGCTCGAGATCACGCGAACAAACTGATGAAAGAGCTACCCGTAAGTTATAATTTCCTAATTTATTTAGTATCCCTTTTGCAAAACGTGAATTAACTCAATATATGTTGTCAGTCAAAGGAAATCGTTTCATTTTGGGATTCGATAGTAGAACGTGAAAAACGTCGCGCCGTCGAGGAACATGATTACAAGTTGCTTGAACAAGTTCGAAACAAACATGTCGCAATTGGTGGTGCTGATGTTGTTAGAGTGCAAAAAGAATATAAGGTAGACGAAGAATTATTGGAAGCTTCTACAGAGAAAAAGCGAAAAGACGAGGATGAAGTGACACCTTCACCACCCACAAAAAGGGTAACGACACAACTTTAGTGGTGTTTTCACACTAGTTCACGTGTTTACATTGGTTGAAAATAACTGATATATATCAAATTTTTAATTCAGTCTAGATCATCGTACTCACCATCTCCATCTGAAGTGGAAGAATTACCTTCGTTGACAATTGATTCAGTTTTTAATGAGGAACCCATTACACAGGCACGAGAAACTTCGGAAAATAAGGTAGTTGTATTTTCACCTGTGTTTAACACGATAAAAAATGTCTTCTCACCTTTCGAATATGTGCACAGATCAGAACAATTAGTACCGCCAATGAGATGGAAGTGAAATCAACCTGTAACGATAATGACGAAGAATCATCATCGTCTCCTCCTAATCAGGAACTTCCTTCGATAATTGTAAACGAGGTAAATGAACAAGTTATAGAAATGATAAGTCGTTAAAACAGATATTTTTTTCGGCCTTTCCAATGACTAACTTAATCTATATGCGCAGGATGGGGATATCATGACTGACACAGAAATGATGCGTGACAGATATCTAAGAATACGTCGGGATCTATGTGACCATTCTTCACAGAAGGATGTAAGTTTACCACGAATCCGCATCAGTTTCATGAAAAAAATACTGTATTGATTATTGCTTTGCCCTTTTAGTGGTTTATTGAAGACTACAATGTTTCAGATGGATTTCGCAAATATCAAATTGATAATATTGACAAATTAGTGGTTGGCAGAACTTTTGACTTTTCATCAAATAGTGAGGCGATCCTGTAAGTATAATTGAGTATGATTTTAAGGACGTCTGATAAATTAACAAATTCTTTGTATTACAGGTCCCTTCACAATATCATGTTCATTGATTCAACAACAATGAGAAAACCTTCGTACTTAGATATAGATGATGACCGAAAATGGCGTATTTCTATACGTCAGCCAAAGCAACAAATTCCACCCAATTTCCTTGGAGAAATAATGGACGAATATGAAGCGGTATTATCATGTGTTTAGTACATGCGGACCTATGATAATTATAATCTAATATCTTTTTGCAATTAAAAATAGGAGATAAATGATATAGATGAACTTCGTTCCAAGTTCTATGATATGTGGGTGAAATATCGTGACAAAGTCATTTATTCAGATAATGAGAGGCGTTTGTTTGAAGCTATCCAAGCAGTTTCGCGTGCATTGTAAGATTCTTGGATTTCAATCTTGTATTTTTCTTGCCGTTTCTTTCCAATAACTATCCATATGATCTTTTTCTTTAAGCTTTGAAAGGATGCACATGTATCCAGATTCAAGGAACAAAAACGAGGATACGTTTGTACATGACTATGTACATGACGCTTTTAAAGAAATGTTCCGTGATCCGAATTATGAGATTATTTGGTAATAAAATTTTTGAGTTTTTTTTGTATTTAATCATTGATATTGTTCTTTATCTTTACTTGTTCTTTATTTAACAGGGCAAATACTGAAAGTCTATCTTCAAGAGAGCACCGAGCGACTTACGGACGTTCCAAAGGCAGAAAACCGGACATTACAATATATCGAGTTATGAAAAAAGACGATAAAGAAGAAACATGTAAAGTTGAACGTGAAGAAACATGTTTCGTAGAAGCCAAACATCTCTCAGTCACGAGAAATAGCAAAATTGGAGGCTACAATCGTTATAAAGTAGCCATCCTTTGCCAGGGGGGCATCAACAGAATAATTTCTTCACGTGGAAACATACCAAAACTTAAGTCCTTCGGAGGACATATTTGTGGTAAATCTACTTTTTACACTTTTTTTGAGTTTCCAGTTTTTCTAATTCACTTTCTGTTAAAACATTATAGAGGGTTATATCTATTTGGGAATGATGGATCTAGAGTATGACGGGATCTACCGATACTTTCAACTCTCCGAAATTAAACTCGCTCAAAAACTTTCTGAGTTTAACCTCGTGAGAAAGTTAATTGTAGAAACATTTTATTTCAAGGTGAATCTCTTTTTGATGATGTCAAAAATTTTTTGTTTCCATATACTTATCTTTTTTTTTGTTTGTTATCCAGTGTCGAATTGATAGTCTTTATTCTAGTGAAAATAATGAGAGTTTATCTGACAATGTTTCTTGCCATAATGGATTCTCCCGTAATCCAACAATCTCACCAAAGGCACGTAGAAGTACGATGATTCCAGTTGTTAGCTTGATTAAAAAAACTACTGAAACCAATAATCGTAAAAGTATATAAATTCTTTAAATGTTATTATATTGGTTTGATAGTGGTTTGATAGTGGTTGTTATGATTAATTTTCTTGGAAGTATCTTTTTCTGTTTTCAAGGCTTTTTTAATTCTTATTGCTATATAATTAGGGAAGAAGGCCAAAATATTTAGTTATCAAGTTAATATATGTCTAGAAATGATTAGCAAATTTAATGAAGTTTTAGGTCTATTATTTCGGAAAAAATAAAAAATGGATTTTTATGTGATGCAAATTTTTTTTTTGGCATCTGCGTTACAAATTGTAACGTGTACGTGATTTATAAATTACATAAGAAGAGGATGAAAAAGATTATGTAATTGCCGAAATCTGGTTTAATATAAACGTACCACACCATTTCTTCTGTGCAATTTTGGTATCATGTTCAGATTCTACCATTAAATAGTCATATGCACAGCGCCTTAGGAGATAAATTTAACCTGACACTGATATGCGTGTCCATCAGAAAAAATATAAGTTTCGGGAGATAAATTTAACCGGATGCTGATCCTGGTTCTGCTCAATTTTAACTTTTTGCATGTGCATTTTATTCGTAATCATTTTTTCCGAATTCCCGTTATGCTTATCCGGCTAAAGAAAAATTCTGAAATCTGATTGGCTGATCATCTCGTGATTTATAGAAACTCGCCAGCTCCTGGAACTCTCCTAGAACTGTCGTGGAACTGGCAGGGAACTAGGGTGATACATGTGATATGATATACGTCATGCCACAAACCGATCGCTGTGCATATATAAAATTAGCATATGACCTATATAAATCCCTGACATACTTATAATCGAATAAAATGAATTTGGATTTAGCAATATGTAGTCTCTCAAATCAGCTACAAATCAATTAACTGCTAATCGGTGAATCCGTATAAATTTGAATAATGATATTATCTAGTATAAGTTGCTAAAGAATTACTAGAATTCGCTAAAAACGCTATAAATCACTAAAATCAGCGAAATTACTATAAACCACCTACACCCGTAAATGGTTAGAACTGACAAATATGGTTTAAATCCTGTAGTAGTGAAAGCATTAACTAATCTGCATTACAGATATTCTGATGAAACGCCAAAAATGTGGTGT